TGCCGCCAGGCCTCAGCGCCCGTGCTGGCCCCCACACAGGGAGGCCGCTCCCCTGCCAGCCTGTCACAGAGAAAGCCGGGTGAGCTGCGCGGCGCTGGGGAGGCGTGGGGCAGAGCGGCCTAGTACCCCAGGGAGCACTGAGTTCATTGCCCCGCGCGTGCGTTTCTTTGAATTATTTAAAAAACAAACACAGGCAAGGCTAGCAGCTGAAGTCAGTTTGTGTCTGCTCAGTGTTTAAGGATCAGAGATGTCCTTCCCTTAGTGAGAGGAGGGCAGGTACAGATAGGGGTACGCGCGTGCGCTCCGGATCTTGTTACAGAATTAATTCAGTCTCACGATTCCCTGGGCCCAGGTGTGATTGAGTTTGGGGGATCCCAGGGCTGCCCAAGGGCCTCTGTAACGTGACAGCCACCTGACATGGTGGGTCAGGCCCTGGACAGAGCCCGGCGAGCCGTCCTGACTTCATCACGCTGCCATCTCATGTGGAGAAATGACGCCATCCATCCCACTAACTCCCAGGAAGCGAATTGGAGTGCGGTCGTGTCATCAGGGGGCCCCTCGGTGCCGTGCAGGGGCACCGGTGTGGGCGGGGTGGGTGCATGCGGGGCCCCGCGGTGGGAACACCGAAGGGCACCTAAACCCGAGCCTGGCGCCTGGCAGCCTTTCTGAAAACGCAGTGGTCTGTGCAGGTCCAGGGCCCCCTCTTGGACCCGCGGGCTCCCTGTGCACGGAGCACACACTCACGGGGCCCTTCTGCTTCTAGGAGGACGTGTGAAGACCTGGAAGCGCAGGTGGTTCATCCTGACTGATAACTGCCTCTATTACTTTGAATACACAACAGTAAGTAAGGTTGGGCCTCCTGGTCGCCTCCCGGCAGTCACGGAGCTGCCCTGGGGCCGAGGGACCCCCAGGCTGGTGGCGCACAGTGAGCGCCCGTGTACTTCTCTCTTGTAGGATAAGGAGCCCAGGGGAATCATCCCGTTGGAAAACCTCAGCATCAGGGAGGTGGAGGACCCCCGGAAACCCGTAAGCTCCCTCCTGAACCTTCTCTCCTGCCAGCCACCTGGGAGCCATCCTCACTGCCTGCAGGGAACCTGGCCCCCAGCCCCTGTGACGGCCTCCCCTCTCTTTCTCCACCAGAACTGTTTTGAGCTCTACAATCCCAGCCACAAAGGGCAGGTCATCAAGGCCTGTAAGACGGAGGCGGACGGCCGCGTGGTAGAGGGGAACCACGTGGTGTACCGGATCTCAGCCCCCAGCCCGGAGGAGAAGGAGGAGTGGATGAAATCCATCAAGTGAGCGGGGTTCGGGGGCGGGGCCAGGCCTGTCTTCTCATGCTGGTTGGAGGGCGGAGGATGTCTGGAACGTGGATGCTTCCGTGTGCAAGAGCGGACCCTCTGCCTCCAGAAACCCGATGCTCAGATCTGAGCCTGCGGTCCTGTCCCAGGAGCCTCTGGGGCTGGTGGGGAAGGGAAGGTCTGTGTGTCACCCACGACCTAACCTGCATGTTTTCCTTCTTTCACCAGAGCCAGTATCAGCAGGGATCCTTTCTATGACATGTTGGCAACGAGGAAACGAAGGATTGCCAATAAAAAATAGCTTTCCTGGCTACAAGACCCAGGTAAAAGACCCAACCCCAGCAGAAAGACACCGCGGGCCGCCCCTCCGCGGAAGGCGTGGCAGGGAGGCGGTCGCCCAGCGGTGCAAGCTGCTTCTCCAGAGTGTACCGTGGCCCAGATGGCATCCCCGAGGCCGCGTGCCGTGGCTGGGGTCCTGGGAGGTGGTCGCCCTGCAGTGCAAGCTGCTGCTTCAGAGCCTACTGTGGCCCAGACTGATCCTCGAGGCCTTGTGCCGTGGCTGGGGTCGTGGTCGGCTGCGCGTGTCCAGAAGTATTTCCTTCCTGCGACCGTCCCCGGCGGCCCTGGGGGGAGAAGCCAGGACAGCAGCTTCCGCTCTCTCCACAGCAGACACCGGACGGATTCCACAGATGGGAGCCTCACTCGTACCATGCCAAACGCATTCACTCGGGGCAGTGTTAACCATTCTAGAAAGCCACTGTTTTATAGCAAAACAGGAAAGGAAAAGCTACCAGTTTTTTATTCAGAATTTTTTCTCAGATATATAGGATTATAGCTTTTATATGCCTTTTTATATTCTGAAATTATAACAAAAGATACTTTCTAACAGTAGTATTTTTAGAATGGCAGCTATAAAGTTAACTCCTGGACACAAGTATATACTGTGCACTGAAAAAATATCCATCTAGACGCAGCACCCAAGGGGAGGGCTGGGGGACACCGGCACGGGGGGCCACGTGCAGCCCTGCCCTGTCAGGCTGTCAGGCAAGCCCCGGGGGCAGCAGGTGGGCTCTGGACGGGCTCGGGGAGGGATGGCCATGGCACTTGGGGGCTCCAGGGTGACTCCCATGTGGCCTCCCTTCAACCCAGGCTTTTTGGCCCCACAGGTACTTTAAGCAAATCGTTAAAGTGATAACAGTTAATGGTTTGGGGTGTTTAGCCTGTAACTGCTAACTCCTAGGAAACAGCTTTTCCCTGGACACAGATGATCCATATGCTGAATCACGTGAAACTGCTCATGTTTTGTTCAGACACACGCACGGCAGCGTTTCATACAGGTCAGCGGAGTCCATGTGGACCGGCTTTTGACCATACTTGTCGCTATTTAAAACCTGTGGCAAAATGAATGCTTATTTTACAGACCTTCTAATTTGACCAGATTTCTTAATGAATAGACACAGAAGTAACTAGAAATAGCCTCACCCCATGTAGCGTGCCATGTCCTGAGACAGGTGCCCTCCCTACGAGGAGGGAAGAACAGGCCCTGGGGTGCAGAGGCCCGGCACGTAGGGTGTCTGGGGAGCTGAGAACCCCAGATAGACACCGGTGGTGGAACTGGCGAAGCTCCACGCCCGCCTGGGAGGTCGTCAGGTTGCTGTGGATGTAAGGATAGCAGGTGCCCGGTGCTTCACTCAAGCAAGGGTGGATCTGGGCCCCACCTCCAGAGAGGGCACAGGGCTGGACGGGGGCATTGCGTGCTTGGGCCGACGCAGGCCGGTGGCAGGCGCTGCTCTGTCGGGAGATTTGCATCCCCAGGACCCTGTTGCACACGGGGCTGTTGGGCTGGTGGCTGGCGTTTCCTCCACGGACTTCCTCTTCCCGCCCCACCTGCACAGGCACACCTTGAATCTGCACCCTCTGGAGGGCATCTGTACTCCTGCGCAAAATGCCCAGTCCAGAGACCAAACCTCAGACTGTGCACCTAGGCTTCCTTCTCAGCAGCGGAGACTGTTCCTTTGAGTTGCCTTGAAGTGGAGGCCGAGCGGCTGCGGGCCCTCCGCCTCCCTGCGGCTGACCTTGATGTAGCTTTAAGTCGCACTAGACTGCAGAGGGGTCCGAGGCCAGAAGCCCCCGTCCTGCATCAGACTTTCATTCCCAAGCTCTTAGGCTTTGTTACTGATACCTCAAATTGGAAATTTTAGTTCTGAGAAAGGCAAGTCAGCGTTCTTGAAACCTGGCTGGTAGATATGCAATTCTGGCCTCCAGTCTTCCATGAAAATAAACGCTGCCTGGACCCCCCCCCCAGACCACACACTGACGGCCAGCCCCGGCGGTGCCCACCCCTCAGGCTGGCCCCGCACCCAGGACTGGCCACAGCCAGCTTTGTCAGCATGTCGTGCTCAGACGAGCCGTTTCCTTCTGACCAACCCAGGTGTGACCTGGGGATGCGGAGCTTTCTGTTTTGGGTGTTGGGAGCCGCGGCAGGAAGGAGTCTCCAGATCAAGCTCCTCTGCTGCTGTCGTCTGGGAATGAGCTTCACCGGGTGGTGGGCACCCGGGAGCCGCGCAGAGGCTGTGGTGCTGAGTTAGACTCCAGGTACTTTGTGGTCAGAGTGTTACAGGAAATCGCCTAGCTCCAGGCTGTGTAATGACAGTATTAGCATAAAGGCCGTGCAGCCATCATGCCTGCTGAGCCTTGAGGCAGGCCTGGTCCAGAAAACTCTCTGGGTCATGACTGCACAGGGCCAGCCGCCACCAGGATGGCCCTGAAGCAGGACATCTGTTTTTGTCCCTCACCCTGGGCAGGCCCTGTCACAATCATGATCCTCCTCCTCCCCGCCCCGATGTCTGAGCACAGGGCTCGAATTGTTAGTCCCAACTCTGGCCAAAGACACTTTCTTCCAGAGACAGAGGCCAGGAGGCAGCGACGGGAGCCCGGCGGGGAGGCGGCGGCTGCCACAGCCCTTCCAGCCTGTCTTGCTGGGCCCTGGTTCACATTTGAGTTTAATTGGACTGGCCCTGGACCCAGATAAGCAGCAGTGTCTTTGGGGTCACAGAACATTTTGGGGCAGTTTAATGTGGTACCAAACTGAGTGAAACTAGGAGCTGTTTATAGATGGAGCAGCACTTAGTGCTTCATAGAAAGCAATGCCTACTTTTAAAGTTACAAATGCAGCTATCTACATAGATGTGCTTTGCCGAGAAGTTAGGTCTGTGGTAGACCAGAAACCACAAATTGACTTTTTTTTTTTCTTAGAAAATATTTCTATTTGCGGAAAATACAGTAATAGTAATGTAAATAATGTACATCTATTGATTTCTGGAGTGTTTGTTATTCAATGTATATACTGCCATGGCTCGCATGAAGAAACAGCCTCCCTCTCTCTCTCGATATTTGGTTGTAAAGTGAACAGTAAGATTGGAGGGTGGATGGCTGTCAGTGCTCTTGCAAATACTGTGTTCACTAAATAAAAATCACATGTATTGTTACAACAAGCCTGTCTGAGACTTGGTTCTTTCCAACAGATATTGTTGGGTCCAGCAAACACCCCTCCAGTTTTCCTTTGCCCGTCCCAGGTGGGATGGCCTGGCCGAAGGTACTGACTTCAGCAGGAGCACTTGAAGGTTTTAAGAAAGTGAATTCAGATGACAGGAAGGAGTCTGGAAGCAAATGGGGAAAACAGCAGTAAAAAGACGCCAAGTGTGTGATTTGCTGCCATTTATATACTATAGAAATTTTACATGCTGTATATTTACAGTGGGGCAAGTGCTTTTTTAATCTTTAAAAAAACAAAGATCAAACTTTAAACATCTCTGAACAACACAAACTGTATAAACCATACAGATTATTCAGATACAAACTGTATTAAATACAGTTTTCCCCACTCCATCTCCTGATGCAGGACCAGTGAATTATAAGTGTATCACAGTTTGATAGCATATCCATATTAAAAATAAAATCACAGTATGATTGTGTCTGTAACTAGAAACTCGAAGGGACCAAGCAGACAACGGAGACTCCAGTATCAGTGAAGACAAGAGACGCTGTATCAAAAAGTGTTGTGTAATAGAAACATACTGTCGGCTTTACAAATCATGTCTGGGTTATACATTCATAATGTAAATACTCATCATAACTGGGAAATTGATTGGAACAGTTCCACAAAGTTCAAAAACAGAACTTGTCTATAAAATACATCTTCAAATCTTGAATACAACTAAAATAAGCAAATTAGTTTCTAGTATCAGACATTACAGAAAACAGACTGCTCTCCAAAGTCTAGGTGAGAGCTTGTGAGTTTTTAAATAAGTCTTTAAATTAAATATACACACTGTCAGTTTGTACTTTTGACAATTCCATGGTCTCCCGGTTGGTCTTGCACCAGATGTCTAACTTGGAGGAACATTACATGAAATACAAGTAATCGACCTGAGTCTGTAATTAAGCAGCATTTGAGATGTTCTATTCCAGGGCATTATTTCAATGGGATTTATATACACGGTATTTTACAATGGTCAGCAGTGGTAGAAAGTGTTCGTCCATTTGGAATAAGGGTAATTAAGAAAAGGTAAAAACTAAAAAAAAAGTTCTCCATGGTAAAATCTGTACAGTATTTACTAAAGAAGCACCACGCAGATTGGAACAGTTATTTTCTATCTTTATAATTTAAGCTGGGCTGGGGATGGCTTCTGTTGAACGCGTTGAATCTGAAAGACAAGAGGCGCCGGGTTAGTGAGTTGGAGGCAGGCGGCGGCGGTGTCTAGGGCTTATTCCGGACGCCCTGCCAACTGCTCCAGAAGGCTGGGGAAGCTCTTCCCTGAGGAGGTCACTCTGCCTTCCTGGGTGGAAGTGAGGGAACTGGTGGTGCGAGCGGCTCAGCCAGGGAGGCGCCATCTGCTGGGCCCCGCCGCCGCCAGCCCCCAGCTGCCTCCTCCACCTCCGTCCTCACAGCCCCTCACTTGGGAAGTTTAGCTCCTTCCTTAGGGTTGGGCCTCTCCCTTGAGGACACATTGATAAAGCCTGTTAATTAACGGCCAGTTAATCCACAGACTCTTCACTTGGAAATTCATTTTAAATTCCTCTTGCTGACTACATGTGACAGACACATTTGGACAAAGTTTCCTTTCAAGGGAAAAATGATTCGCTGTCCCCTTTAGGTCCACAGGGGTCAGGTATAAAACCAGTGACTCTCCCAGGACTCCTGTGGGAATTGACCCAACACAGCCCTGCAGCTCTGAGGTCCTGATCTGCTACTCGGCCACCTTCCCACGGTTTTGTACAGTGGGTGCTGGGTGGGTGCCGGCTCCAGCTCAGTGCGACCTCGGGGCGCAAACAGCAGCACAGGGGCCAGGATGGGACGGGGAGGGAGCAAGGCTCCGCTCTCCTGAGGTGCCTGTGCTGGGCACCGGGCCTCTCCCTTCCCAGATGTTTATCAAAGGCCTCTGGGCTCGGCTGCTGTGAGCCAGGTTGGCTTTTCCCAGTGAGGGGCAAGGGAACAGGGCAACTCCACCTGCGTGAGGGATGCGGGTCTTCCCAGCCAGTAATGCAAAGGTGACGAGGTGGAGGGTCTAGGTCTGTCCCCAAGCACGTGGCCTGGGTCTGGGCTGGCTGGGAACCTGCCGGGGCCTCTCCATGGCTCTGCCCATTCCTATGGGCCCAGCCCACAGGCAGAACCACAGAATAACTCCTCTGCCTGAGTCCCCTCAGCGCCACCACAAACAATGAAGAAACAGGAAAACAGCTTACCATAACTAGTGAATTTTTTGTTTTGAGGCTGAGTTTTCAATCACCTAGAAAGCAAAGGTCAGGAAAGAGATTTTAATGATGGTTGCAAAACCGCCAGTGCCTCTGCTCTGCGTGTGCATTAAGTGGCTATGGTCAGTCACTGCGGTTCCCTGTGAGTGGCTGAGGCCACTTCCCCGCGAGGTGAGCAGGGATGTCCCAGCGCTCAGCTGCTGCTCCCAGGGTTTTACTGACATCAAAGGGTTTACGTGATGACTGAGACTGAGGGCTCCATCCAACCCACGCACACCCTGGGGTTAGGACAACAGATCTCAGGCCCAAGAACTGAACTGGGCGGAACAGAGCCAGAGGAAGAGTGTGAAAGAGAAAGGCAAGGAGCCGAAGTCCAGGGCAGAGGGGGGCCTGCAGGACCACAGGACGCTGGGTGAGGCGAGGCCGGGCACCGGCCTTCTCGGGAGGACAAGAAAGGCTCCTCAGTCTGTGCTCGCAGCAGAAGCACCAGCTGCAAACCCTGTCATCAGTGCAGTGGGATGGGCACAGAAACGCAGGCCACCACACACACGCCTGGCCACAGCACCCAAGGATGGGCACGGAAACGCAGGCCACCACACACATACACACACACACACGTCTGACCACAGCACCCAAGGACGGGCACGGAAACGCAGGCCACCACACACACACACACACATATACACGCCTGACCACGGCACCCGAGACAGGACGCAAACAAGTTCACGTTCAACCTCCCTCCTGCTGGACCAGCTGCCTTGGGGGCTATCACTGTCTCCCAGCAGCCCTGGCTGGGAGCCCACGTTCCTCGGAGCCCGTACCACACGCAGAATGAGCCCATTCACCACATCCTCGGGTACCAAGCAGCCCTCACGAATCCCCTTCCCCGATTCGCTGAAATGGGAAGGCAAAACCAATTCTGAAACATCCAGAATGTCTACAACACAGACAGCAAAGGCCCGCCAGCTCCCCGTCCTCGCCGGCTCCCCGTCCTCGCCGGCCCCCTGCCCTTGCCGACAGTGCTGGTACCTGTCCTGGGCTCCGGCTATTTCCCCAGCACTCCACAGGCAAGTGTGCCCCATGGGGCTCACCCCGCAGCCCCGGCTCTCTGTCACACACTCTAAGGACCGTCTGCCCCTCAATCAACAATGCACACTGGCTCTGGGCTGCTGGCAGGGACAGGCCTTCCCCAGAACACACAGCTCCACCTAACCCACGACACAGCCAAGAAGCAAAGGCCTCAGGGCAGCCCTGATGATTCGTCAAAAGTCCCTGGGAGGAGGGCATGCGCTTCATACATGAATGCAAACAACTGGCGTTCAGGTAGGGATGACCAACTTTCTCTGTGAAGGGACAAATAACATTCTCCGCTTTGCAAGCCACACAGTCCCTGCCCTGCTGCAGCCACTCGCCTCTGTCAGGCAGTGACAGCGAAGCCACCGGACAGCGTGCGAACGTGCCTGGCTGTACCCCAATCAAGCCACAGACACTGCAGTCTGAACTTCACATCATTCTCATGTGAAACGCATTGTTGTTCTTTGGGATTATTTCCAACCACTTAAAAAGGTTAAAACCATTCTTCACTCCAAGTTCATACAAAGCCAGGTGACCGGCCGAAGCTGGCCGCAGGGCTGCAGTTTGCCAACCTCTGCTCTAGGTCCACTGACTCGAGTGACATCCACTTCTAACAGCCTCACAGCTCCTCTCCAGGACCAGCAGTCACTGGACACCAACCAGAGAGGAAGTGGGGAGGCTGCCTCAAGTGCAGTCAGAGCACAGCACGTGGCCACATGACAGAGACACAGCCCCACAGGGCAGAAGAGAATCTAGGACCCCTGGCAGTGACAGTCCGTGGCCCGCCACACCGTCTCTGAGGCGTCAGGCAGAGGCCGATGCCCGTGCTTCTAACGACCCAAGCAAGCAAATCGGTACCGAGCGTCAGGGCACACTCAGAATGCTACAGGTTTAAGGATTCAGGAGAGTAATGTATATACTGCAAAAGTATTTCTATCAAAAATGCTTTAAAACCAAGAGTTCTCGAGACCATCCTGTTCAACAGAGTGAAACTCTGTCTCTACTAAAAACACAAAATTTAGCTGGGCGAGGTGGCGGGCGCCTATACTTCCAGCTACTCGGGAGGCTGAGGCAGGAGAATGGTGTAAACCCGGGAGGCGGAGCTTGCAGTGAGCTGAGATTGCGCCACTGCACTCCAGCCTGGGCGACAGAGCGAGACTCCGTCTCAAAAAATAAATAAATAAATAAAATAAAACCAAGATTTCTGGTCCTTTGTGAGGCAAACACTCAAGACGCCCAGAGCCATACGTTCCAGGGCTTTGGTGACACACAGGTGGTGCTGCCCTCAGTCCTGTGTCACTTAGGCCTTCAATAAACGCTAAGGGTTTGGTGCTAAGGAGCCAAACTGGACAACAGCACCGCACTGCAGGGACGAGCACTGAGGCCGGACCCTGTCTGGCAGGGTGATCTGAGTAACTGCAGCCTCTGATGCCACCTGAGGTTTTCTATGTATTACTCGCCCTTTGCAAAGAAAATGTATTAAGAAATAGTTTCTATTTTCTTAATTCCAAGTATCTCCTCTTACCCTGGCCATACTCAAAGAGATGACACCTGTCATCCCTGCTTTCCATCCGTAAGTGTTTCGTTTTCTCACGGAAAGGTCCGACGCCTTCCAGAGGCGGGCCACCGGGCAGAGGAAAGCCGCCCTGGGCTCTCCGGAACTGGGCAACAGTCTCCAAGCTGGCGGCCCTGGGTAAGTGCAGTTCTGAATCTTTAACAAAGTCCTCTGATTTTCTTGAATGTCTCTTCTTTTTCTTCTTCTTTTTTTTGTGTCTGTGGAGGTCAGCGTCAGAGCACGCTGCTGAGAGGTCTGAGTCCTGCTGATGCCTGCAGAAGCAAAAGCCAGAGTTCAAACCCCTAAAACGCAACACCACCAGCAGCAGACCCTGGAGCCTGGCCTTTACACCCGTTCACTGAGAACATTCACCACGCAAACAGGCACAATTCTTATCTAATTAACAACATCGGCCAGGCATGGTGGCGCACACCTGTAGTCCCAGCTACCCGGGAGGCTGAGGCGGGAGGATCACTTGAGCCCAGGAGGTTGACAAAGCTGCAGTGAGCTACGACTGCAACACTGCACTCCAGCCTGGGCAACAGAGCCAGACCCTGTCTCAAAAATTTAACAAGTCTGCCTTCAGTATAATGACTGTTTCAGCCCAGGGTCATAAATTCACCAACTTCAGCTCCATTGCTGAACAGCCCCACCTCTGCTTCAGCTTTCTCAGGAACTAAAGTTGTTGGACAAACACTGCAAGGAGGATTCTGCTAGCTTTTCCCAAAACCAGTGGTTACTTGAAGGGAAAGGAAATACTGAGCCTCCCTCCCTCCCATGTGCCTGAGACACCTGGCAGCAATATTATTTTTTCCCTCAAGTAACCACTGCCTATTTTCCCTATGGCTTTTGCTAATCTTTTCCCCTGGTTTCAATTTCAAGAGATGTCAACTAAAATTACTAATTCTGTTCCTGCTCATCCATCTCATCATGGGTAAGTCATTTTCAAGACAATCACTCACCAATTTAGCTTTTTAAAAATACAAAAACAGGCCAGGTGTGGTGGCTCATGCCTGTGATACCAGTGCTTTGGGAGGCCCAGGCAGGAGGATCGCTTGAGCCCAGGGGTTTGAGAACCACCTGGGCAGCATAGCGACACCCTGTCTTTACAAAAACAAAAAATTAGTTGAGGGTGGTAGCACATGTCTGTAGTCCCGGCTACTCCCGAGGCTGAGGGCTGAGGCAGAAAGATCATTTGAGCCCAGGAGGTCAAGGCTGCAGTGAGTTACGATGGCATCACTGCACTCCAGCCTGGGTGACAGAGGAAGACCCTCTCTCTTAAAAAAATACAGAAACAAATTTCCCAATTGAATTTCAAGTTGAAAAATGGAGACAAAAACAAAGGCCGAGGAAACAAAGGTGTCTCAGATGCCCACGCTGGGCAGGAGGGCAGGAACAGGAGAAGTGCACCTCCTGTTGTCTGCCTACCTCACAGCCACTGAATTTCAGGAAAATATAACACATAGGAAAACAGAACTACATCTGACAAATAATAATATTAACACCAATTCTAAGGTCAAAGACTCCCAATTTTTCATTTATGGAACAATGCATGCTTACTCCTGGAAGAGTTATAAAGCATTCACCAAAAATGGCACTATCATTTTGAAAAAGAAGGTTGTTAGGCATTTAACGACACCATGAAATAAAGATACAGCTTAAAAACAGGGCAAATTTTTACAAATCTGTAAAAAGAGTGGAATCTCAAGACCTACAGAAATGAGACATAAATCAAACGGATACAACTATGGCCTGGCCCATCACTCGTTCCTGAGTCGGGTGAGAAGGGACAGGCCCCACTGCTGACAGCGCCGCCAGCCCCGCGAGGAGCACAAGGCCCCAGGCTCACCTGGAGTCGCGGTCTCGGTGTTTGTCTTTGGATTTCTTTTTCTTCTTTGATTTTTTGTGCTTCTTCGCTTTAGGCTCTTCTAGAGGGTCCTTCTGTTCACTCCTCCGGGCTTTCTTTTCGACATGGCTGTCACTGTTTTCCACGCTGTCGTGTCTCCGTTTCCGTGACTTTACATTTTCGTGTTCGTGAAACCGATCAGAGAGGTTACAGTTGTCTCCAGCTACAAGTGCAGTTCTGTCGTGGGAGAAGCGGTCAGGGTGCGGGGCGAGGGCGTGGGGCGCTCCTGCACGGGGGCTGCCAGGGCGGTGCCGCTCCCTCTCCCGGGCCGGCTCGCAGCCCCTACGGCCCCGGCTGTGGTCCTTGTGCGGCCGCTCATGCAGCCCGGCCCGCTCGTGCTCGCGGCCGCCATGGAAGGGCTTCCAGTCCCGGGCGGCGTACGGGGCGTACCTGTCATGGTAGTACCGGCACCTGTCCCAGCGCGGCCTGTCGGCGTAGAACTTCTCCCGGCCCCAGCCATGCTCGCCCTCGGTGTAGTGGTGTCTGACCCAGTCCGGCTCCGCCCCACTCCGGTGTCGGGAGTGGTGGTGACTGTACCTGCCCAGAGAGCGGCGCTCGCCGGGGCTGGGCCTGTCGCCGTGGCCGGGGTGGTGCTCCGCAGCGTGGCGGTCCTGGCGGTCGCGCTCCCGGGGGCACGTGCGGCGCCGCCGGTGGCGGTGGCCCTCAGTCTTGCTCCTGCTCTCTCTGGCGGGCTCCCCGCTGGACGAGCGCTCCCTCCGGCTGCGGTAGTGGCCTCGGTCCACCTTTCTGAGGCTGCCGATTTTCTCCCTCACCGGGGAAGGGCCTGGAGCTTTCGGCGCCGCGGCGTCCTCGCCCCTCTCGCCGGGGCTAGGCTCTGCGTCCCCTTCCAGGTGACCGGCCGGGGCCGCCTCCAGCACAGGAGCTGGCGGCCCCTCTGTGGCCTCGGGCGCGCCCGAGCTCTGGGGCAGGTCCTGAGCGTCCCGGGCATGGTCCCCGCTAGGGTGAACAAGGAGTGGCTGCTCGCAGGGCTCCTCCGACCGCGCAGGCGGAGCCGGACTCAACCCCTCCGGGGCTTCCGCCGTCGCAGAGTCCCGCGGGCCCTCCGCTATCATCCCCTTTGCGTCCTGGGACAGCGGGCTCGCGTCGCCCGTTAAGCTCCCGGGATCACACAGGTCAGGGGGCGCTGTGTCCCCCGCGATGTCCTGCCCAGCGCCGGGCGGAGGCTCCTCGGGGGCGGCAGCCAAGGCCTCCCAGGCGCCTTCTTTGGTAGTGGGAGTGCCGGGATCCGGGGGCGGCGGGGCCTTCTTGGTGCTGCTGAGGCTGGCGGCGGCTGCATCCGGTTCCTCCAGGGATTCGGCGGCGGGGCTGCCAGGCTGGGGCTCGGGGTCGCCGTCCTCGGGAGGGCCCCTCTCTGCTCCAGGTGCACTGCAGCCCCCAAACAAACAAACACACCAGTTAGCGTGGGCTTCACAGGCTCGTGTCATTGCATTACAGGGACAAACACTTCAAAACGTTCACTTGCTATTTCGTCTCTTTAAATACATCTCGCTGAAGCCCAGTATTAGGCTAGTACTATCATCTCTGGAAACTCCCAATTTTCTGTTTCCCTTATTAAACAAAAATAAAATGTTTTATCATCAAGCCCAGCTCCTAGCCTATTTTTCAAAGCAATAATCCTACAGTTCTAGGCTCTTCCTGTTTCTGGATATTCCTCTAGTTCTTCCAATTCCTCTATTGTTTTGTTTTGTTTTTTGAGGGCCAGAGTCCCACTCTGTTGCCCAGGCTGGAGTGCAGTGGCGTGATCTCAGCTCTCTGCAACCTCCACCTCCTAGGCGCAAGCAATTCTCCTGACCCAGTTTCCCAAGTAGCTGGGATTACAGGCGCCCGCCACCATGCCCAGCTAATTTTGGTATTTTTTAGTAGAGATGGGGTTTCACTAAACCTTGGGCAAGCTGGTCCTGAACTCCTGACCTCAGGTGATCCTCTCACCTCAGCCTCCCAAAGTGCTGGGATTACAGGCGTGAGCCACCGCACCTGGCTGCAATTCCTCTAGTTCTTCCTAATAACCAAGACTAAAGAAAAACCTCCAGTGATGACAGGGCTTCCTCCTTTAACTCTGGGCTCCCTTTCTCTAATTTCTCTTGAACCCTCAAAGGTAGAGCGGCTACCTCCAAACAAAGCCAGCAGCTCCTCCAATTACTGACAAATTGTGAGAAATCAGAGGCTTTAGCAAAACTTGCTGTAGTAAATTAACTCTGTCCTTTGATTCCCACAGAGCTTTCAATATGTCCTCAGGGTTAATAATGAAAGCTGCTGTGGCCTGGGCTTGTCTGCACAGCCATCTACCTCACCCTCATGCTACCTGGCCTAGGAAAGGCCGGAGTCCCCTGGCCGAGGGAGCGAGTGTCCAAGCCGGCCTATCCTTAGGTTGGGAATGAGCATTCCCTGCCTGCAGGGTTCACCCCATTCCGTTTTAATATCTCAGCCCTCCTAACAGAGGGCCTCAGTGAGGGCACTCCCAGCTGCCGGGGGCCATTCTGGGGTTGCCACAGTGATGGGAGCCCCACCAGCACGACGAGCAACCCCACAGGTGAGTGCGTGCCAAGACAATGCGGGTAAAAACTACGGCTGTGTTACTGGCGCGGTTTTCACCGACACTGTTTCCAGGAAGATACCTAGTCTATAAATCTAGAGTCCATCATGCTGTGATTTCATCACAACTTCACCACAAGTTGTTCGCCATGAGAACATGACTTCCTGATGGCGAACCTGCGCCTGGCACCGACTATGGTGACATCTGGCCGTGCTCTGAGCTGTCACTCACAGCCGACCTGTGCAGAGACGCGAGCACTGCTCGCACACAGGCTCTCGCCACAGGGCCGTCCTGCCGGGTTCTCCGCATGAAGCACTGTCACTGCATGACAAGTTCCTTTCCTCTTACTCTGGACTAACGTTACATTTACATTCTTGACTAACATTACATGATTTTTTTTAAAATTGTGGGGCAGGTTTTATTATCTATAATTTCAGAATCCTTGAGGGGCCTTTACGAAGTATAGTCACATACCTCATACATAAGGTCAACAACGGCCCACACGTGACGGCGGTCCGTAAAATCACAACAGAGCTGAAAAATCCCTGTCACCCTAACTGTCCTAACATCCTAGTGACGGCGGTCCATAAAATCACAACAGAGCTGAAAAATCCCTGTCACCCTAACTGTCCTAACATCCTAGTGACGGCCATAAATCACAACAGAGCTGAAAAATCCCTGTCACCCTAACCGTCCTAACATCCTAGTGACGGCGGTCCATAAAATCACAACAGAGCTGAAAAATCCCTGTCACCCTAACCGTCCTAACATCCTAGTGACGGCGGTCCGTAAAATCACAACAGAGCTGAAAACTCCCATCACTCTAACAGTCCAAGGGCAACACATGACTGGTGAAGTGTGGTGATGCTGGTGTAAACAAACCCAGTGCACTGCCAGTCCCATGAAAGTCTAGCACATACAATTAGTACATAATAGATGATAATGGTAATAAATGACTCTGCTGGCCGGGTACGGTGGCTCACGCCTGGAATCCCAACACTTTGGGAGGCTACGTCCGGTGGATGAGTTGAGGTCAGGAGTTTGAGACCACCCTGAAAAACATGGTGAAACCCTGTCTCTACTAAAAGTACAAAAAAAAAATTAGCTGGGTGGGTTCGTGCATGCCTGTAATCCCAGCTACTCAGGAGGCTGAGTCAGGAGAATTGCTTGAACCCGGGAGGCGGAGGCTGCAGTGAGCTGAGATCTCACCACTGCACTCCAGCCTGGGCGACAGAGACAGACTCCATTTCAAAAACAAAAACAAAAAAAATGACTGTTACTGGCTTATGTATTTACTAACTGTACTTTTTATGATTATCTTAGTGTGTGCTCCTTTTTCTTACAAAACATAAGGTAACTGTAAAACAGCCTCAGGCAGGTCCTTCAGGAGGTCTCCAGGAGAAGGCACTGTTGTCACAGGAGATGACAGCTCCATGGCTGTTACTGCCCCTCGAGACCTTCCTGTAGGGCAGGATGTGGAAGTAGAAGTCAGTGATACGGATGACACTGATCCCGTGACCCTGGGCTAATGTGTGTGTTTGTGTCTTCACAAAAAAGTTTTAAAATTGGCCAGGCGCAGCGGCTCACGCCTGTAATCCCAGCACTTTGGGAGGCCGAGGCGGGTGGATCACAAGGTCAGGAGATGGAGACCACGGTGAAACCCCGTCTCTACTAAAAAATACAAAAAACTGGCCAGGCGAGGTGGCGGCGCCTGTAGTACCAGCTACTCGGGAGGCTGAGGCAGGAGAATGGCGGGAACCCAGGAGGCGGAGCTTGCAGTGAGCCGAGATTGCGCCACTGCACTCCAGCCTGGGGCACAGAGCGAGACTCTGTCTCAAGAAAAAAAAAAAAAAAAAAAAGTTTTAAAATTTACAAGTAGAAAAAAGCTTATCAATATGGATATAAAGAACCTATTCTTGTAGCTGGGCGTGGTGGTGCATGCCTGTAGTCCCCGCTACTCGGGAGGCTGAGGCAGGAGAATTGCTTGAACCCAGGAGGCGGAGGCTGCAGTGAGCTGAGATCGCGCCACTGCACTCCAGCCTGGTGACAGAGTGAGACTCCGAGACTCTGTCTCAAACAAACAAACAAAGAAGTTATTTTTGTATAGCTGTATAGTGTTTGTGTTTTAAGCTAAGTGTTATTACAAAAGAGTCAAACAGTTTAAAAGTTTATAAAATAACAAAGTTACAGTAAGCAAAGGTGTGTTTACTATTGAAGAAATCAATTTTTTAAACAAATTGAGTGTAGCCGAAGTGTGCAGTTTCTAGAGTCTACAGCAGTGTACAGTCCCAGGCCTCCACGTTCACTCAGCACTCGCTCACTCACAGGCTCACCCACAGCACCCTCCAGTCCTGCCAGCTCCATTCATGGTAAGTGCCCTGTACGGGTGTGCCAGTTTTCCTTTTATACCGTATTTTTACTGTCCGTTTTCTATGTGTAGATACACAAATACCACTGTGTTACAGCTGCCTACAGGATCCAGTGCGGTCACAGGCTGTGCAGGTTTGTGGCCCAGAAGCAGTAGGCCACACCATCTCGGTCTGTGTGACACACTGTGGTGCTGACATGTCAACCACATCCCCAAACGATGCATTTCTCAGAATGCATCCCTGTTGTGAATGGACGGTTGACTGTATGTGCTCCTTGACAGGACTGAGAGCCCTGGCCTAGACCCTCAGCACACCCTCCCATAATCACTCTTCATGAGAAAGATGAAATGAGATGGCGCTTGAAGGCGTGCCAGTAACACTGCTAACCAGAGAGAGGTGGCCACGCAGGAGGAGAAATAGCATGGTGAGTACATTAAGTTTCAGTGGACTCGGTCCTGTATGCCACACTTTTTCTTTACTTTTCTAAAAGGCAAGTTAATAAATCCTATACATTATAATTCAAATCATTCTAGGATTCAAAACATTCACTATAAAATTTCTACAGCATTCCTATACTGACACATCTGCAGGCCACTGGATTTCCCACTATGCTGCCACATGTGCCTCAGATTTACTCTTGCGTTACCTCATTTCATCTGTCGAGCCTTTCAGTTTGTTGCTAAACTTGAAGGTCTCTAAGATTTTGTCTTCTGGGAGAGACGGCAAAGGAGCAGGCATCAACTGCAATAGAAACAAAAATATTTCAGCTTCAGTCGCCAGCTCCATGCCTCCTGAAATCCAGCCAAGGGAATCACCACTAACGAGGCTGAAGACCCCGAAGCACACTCACCTTTCCAGGAATACCGTTTGCCTTAGCAAAGGGATTTTCTGAGTGCAGGGCAGGCTGGCCTTGGCAGCTGGCACCATCGGGCGGCAGGCCGTTTTCTTTTGGGTCACTGTCACTGTCTGCACTATTAGCACCGTTTAGGGTCATGGGTTCTTGGAGCTCGTGCGGAGCGGCCTCCTCATCTTCGGCATCTCGGCCGGGAGAGTGGGAGCTCGCAATCATACCAATCCCATTCTCCTTGCCCAGCCCCTTCGACTCCTCGTCAGAGTCCTCAGAGGACTCGGCGCCATAGGGGACCAGCACACTGGAGTTCAGCTTGGATTTGCCATTCATCACGGGCTGGGAACAGGATTCGCTGCGGGGGATCGGTTTTGTTACTTTACTAGAAACTGACATCGTAGATGCGTTCGAGGTAGACTGTACTGCAGAATTGGTAATGGTAGAAGAGGGAACGGGCTTGGTAGCGTTCTCCAAAGAATTGCTATGAAGGTTAGGCTGAGACTGACACTGGCGAACAGGCAACTTGTTGTGAATACTGATTGTAATTTTTTGTTTCTTAGGATGTTCTGGGATCACTGAAGACCTATTAACTGACCAGTTTTGGACAGAAGCTGAAGCATTAACAGGACTAGCCCTGTTGACACTGGAATTCCCGTTAGGACTTGACATGGAACTGCTTGGTGGGTCTTTCAATGGTCCAGTCCCATTTAAGTGAGGTGGATTCTGGAAGTAAGAAAAGCACCAGCCAGTCAGAGCTCCAGAAACATGGTCACAGAAACACAACCCATTTTGGCTAATGGGTCCTTCCCATTTTTGCTTTTTTTTTTTTTTTCCCCAGGACTAACAAGTTTCATACACCTGGAAATGTTCTCTGTTTTTCTCAGTCCCTCCTACCCACGCATACTTTCCATAGGCCCTAGTTTTCTGGCAATAAATCAACAAACAGGACATACATGTTTCACAGGATACAATCCTCAGACCAAACTCTTTCTGTTCCAGATCTGATCGAAATCAGCAGGCCTGTGGCATGGAGTCACACACTTGCTCCCTGGTTGGGTTTCCTGGGAGCTCACCGCTGCAGAGTGCCAGGAAGAAGGAATCACCCTGGCCTCGGAGCAAAGGAGACGGTCACATGGGCAGAGAGTAGGGGCTGCTTCAGCCGCTGCTCGCTCAGCCATGACCCCCACCACTGCCCCACAATGTCTCCACATTCTCCTCATGCAGTAATACATTCGCTGCAGGTTCCCACCATGGCTGCTGCATCCCCATGGAGGCATGGGCCTGAACGCCAGTGAATAGATCATGTGTGGCCTTCATGGTGCCTTCTCAAATACCTGAATTAGCTGCCATCTTAACACTGGAAAGCTTCATAGTAAAAACAAAAACAGTCTGGAAAAGCAATGCCAACCACCCCTTCCTACAGGGCACATGCCCTCCTGTTTGCCAGAGTCCTGACGTCACTCTGGAGCAGAGCCCAATAGGGGAGCCCGCTGGGCATTTGATGTGTGACTCTGTTACACCTCAAATACTGCCTGATGTCCATTAAATAAAGCACACAGCTAGACAGTGTATGTGATCATCCAAAACAAACTCAAGCCGAAAAGCTGTGAAGATGCCACAGCCCAGATGACGCCCCCACTCTGGAATTCTGTGTTCCCTGTGACACTAGCTCACTACCTGTTCACCCCGACGGGACCAACAGGGAGTAAAATGAAACCCAGGGGGACAGCAGCCAGAAACCCCACACCCCTGAAACGACTAAATGGACCTAACAAACGTGTTGTTGTAAACAGATCGCTTTCCTGGAGTCCAAGAGTAATTAAGAATGGAAGTCCAGAGGGGACCTAGAATGTAAGGATGCTGACACCCAGCCTTTCCTCTTTCCTCCCCACTGGTGCCGTTTGCTGTATATTTTGGGGTTTTTGTTTTTTCGGAGGGTTCTTTTGGAGACGGGGTCTCACTCTGTTGCCCAGGCTGGAATGCAGTGGCGCAATCTCAGCTCACTGCAACCTCTGCCTCCTGGGCTCAAGTAATCCTCCTGCCTCAGCCTCCCAAGCAGCTGGGACCACAGCACACACCACCATACCCGCTGATTTTTGTAGTTTTTGTGGAGACGGGGTTTCACCCTGTTGCCCAGGCTGGTCTCAAACTACTGAGCTCAAGTGATCCACCTGTCTTGGCCTCCCAAAGTGCTGGGATTACAAGCGTGAGCCACTGCACCTGGCTGTTTTCTGTATATTTGAAATACTGTATAAGAGGGTTTGATTAAACTGTGAGAAGACATTTAGATGTATTTGAGGACACAGAATCACTACAATTGAACTTGAGAGTCTGAAGTTACATTTTAAAAATTAACATAAAAATGTTATTCTCCCTATGGACTGTTACCTTTATCATGTGAGAGGGAAGCTGTGGTCCGATAAACCCTGGTGCAGCCTGTTTGTTGGTGACAACCCGCTGACTGATGACGGGGCGGGGAGAGGACTGGCCGGGGCTATGGGTGGGATGAGTAAGTTCACCTCCATTTTTCACATCATGAGACCTGGAGACAAGGAGAGTGATACTTAGGGTGACACAGGATACCTCCTTAGGAGAGATTCATTTATAAATTCAACAGCATTTAACCCCTCAGGCAGAAAACTGATGAAAAAAATAGCATGTTTATGCTACACCATATGGAGCTATACATCCTCTCCTTTGGGCTAATGTCAGGCACTCAGATCAGGAGACAACAAGGATAACTGGGTAAATAAGGCTTTTTAAACTGTGTATTCTGAAGATGCTGTTTCATCTGTATGGTATTTCTTTTCTGTTTATTCATATTTTCCTTTTTTTGAGACAGGGTCTTGCTATGTTGCCCAGGCTGGACTGCAGTGGAACAGTTATCGCTCACTGCGGCCTTGCCCTCCTGCGTCAGCCTCCTGAGTAGCTGGGACCACAGACGTGCACCACCACACCTGGCTAATTTTTTTATTTTCTGTAGAGATGGGGTCTTACTTTGTTGCCCAGGCTTATATTTTTCTAATTATAAATATATGCCACTGTAGAATATCTATAGTGTCCAAAAAAGTCAGAAACAAAATCCTACCCCTCATCTTGGCCTGAGGCCTCCTCTGCTTGTCATCTGTGCTTCAGCCCAACTGCTGAAATCCAATGCCAGTGTTTAATATTTCAACATGCAGACATGAGCATTCTGCCAGTTAGACATTTGAGGATATTCTTAATTTTCAGCTATCAAACATTTTTTCCAAAAACGGAGTGAGTGAGTGAGTGAAAAGTATATGCAGCCACAACAGGACAGAGCTGGGCACGGGCCCTGGCCTTGGCCTGGAAGGCAACTGATCTGTGCTCCAGGTTGGGAGGTGCTGGCTGTGACCATGCCAGGTGCTCAGAGGCCCCTTTCCGAGGTCTCCACTCACTGTCCTGTGGCTCCTGGTCCACTCCATTGCTGCCTGCAGCAGAAGCCCACCCTCCTCAGCTACCACCTCTCCCTGCAGCTGCACCTTCAGTGCTCACGGCCACAGAGTACGACGCGGAGCAAACTCATCATCCTGCTCAGACACTACCTTTCTTACTCTCCAAGCACATGGCAGAGTTGATGGTTTTTGTTTTTGTTTTTTTGAGACAGAGTCTTGCTCTGTCACTCAGGCTGGAATGCAGTGGCTCAATCACGGCTTACTGCAGACTCAGCTTCCCCAGGCTCAAGTGATCCTCCCACCTCAACTTCCCGAGCAGATGAGACCACAGGCCCACACCACCACACCTGGCTAATTTTTTCATATTTTGTAGAGATGTGGCCTCACTATGTTGCCCAGGCTGGTCGGTCTTGAACTCCTGGGCTCAAGTGCTCCTTTTATCTCGGCCGCCCAAAGTGCTAGGATTATAGGCATGAGGCGCCATGCCCAGGCTAGAAGTGATCTTTAAGCTGCTGGGTTTTGTTTTTTTTTTAAAAAAAAACCACACTGAATATTGAATTTAAATATGTTGATAAGACAAGAAAAATTAACATACCAGAAAATTTGGCAGTTTGTTTTCATGACAATACCTGATATAAAAGAGCACATAGGCTTGTTGGCTGAGTACCGATCTAATATCACTGGTAGATACAATGGAGTCATTCATTTGATACCAGAGGCCATTGCTAGCCTGTAAATGAGGGCCAATAAAAGACAGAGATTAGATTTAATTAAATGTGGAACACAGTCAAGAGCAATTTTTTTTTCTTTTTATTTTTTTTTGAGACGGAGTCTCACTCTGTCACCTAGGCTGGTGTGTAGTGGCGTGACCTTGCAATCTCCCCCTCCTGGGTTCAAGCAATTCTCCTGCCTCAGCCTCCGGAGCAGCTGGGATTACTGGCAGGTGCCACCACACCCAGATAATTGTTTGTATTTTTTTTTTTTTTTTTTTTTTTTTTGAGACGGAGTCTCGCTCTGTAGCCCAGGCTGGAGTGCAGTGGCCGGATCTCAGCTCACTGCAAGCTCCGCCTCCCGGGTTCACGCCATTCTCCGGCCTCAGCCTCCTGAGTAGCTGGGACTACAGGCGCTGCCACCTCGCCTGGCTATTTTTTGTATTTCTTAGTAGAGACGGGGTTTCACCGTGTTAGCCAGGATGGTCTCGATCTCCTGACCTCGTGATCCGCCCATCTCGGCCTCCCAAAGTGCTGGGATTACAGGCTTGAGCCACCGCGCCCAGCCAATTGTTTGTATTTTTAATAGAGGCGGGGTTTCACCATGTTGGCCAGGTTGGTCTCCAACTCCTGACCTCAAGTGATCCCCCAGCCTCAGTCTCCCAAAGTGCAGGGATTACAGGAGTAAGCCACTGCACCTGGTCAAGATAAATATTTTTACAACGGGTATTCACATTTTAACTGTAAAAGTTCCACCTCTCCCTACCTCAAGAATGCTACTGCTGTCTTACAGCATGTATGTAACAATAGTTAATAGCAAATGTGCACAGCTTACTTTTATGTAGCAGAAGTAATGGCCAGCATGGCAATTAAAACCAGTGTGGACCAGCACTGCATACAAGACGTAAACAATCGGCTCTCCGTTGGGTTGAGACATATATGGCCGAATATCAAGATACTCAGGATATTTCACATCCTAAACAGAAATGGAAAAAGGAGAAACATTTCTGAGGGCACACATCATTCCACATATTCAGGTAGAGGGTATTTAGAGCTCCCTAGGAGGGGAGACCCACAGAACACCTGAGTCCTGTGATGTTCTAGCAAAAACCTAATGCATTTTAAAAACCTAATGCATTTAGCCACTTTTTTTTTTTTTCTTTTTTTTCCTGAGATGGCGTGCCACTCTATCACCCAGGCTGGAGTGCAGAGGCATGATCTCGGCTCACTGGAAGCCCCACCTCCCGGGTTCAAGTGATTGTCCTGCCTCAGCCTCCCGAGTAGCTTGGATTACAGGTGCACTACCACGCCCAGCTAATTTTTGTATTTTTAGTAGAGACGGGGTTTCACCATCTTGGCCAGGCTGGTCTTGAACTCCCGACCTCGTGATCCACCTGCCTTGGCCTCCCAAAGTGCTAGAATTACAGGCGTGAGTCCCTGCGCCTGGGCTAGCCACCTTCGAAAGGGCATAGTTAACCGGGAGGATAGCTGAATCTAAGTGTATTTAAGGTAATCTTGCTGCATTTATTATTTTCTTTTAACAAGTCAGGATCTACATTAAGTGAATTCTTCAAATCCATCAAAGGACAAAGTAACAAAATGATAACTCTCAACATTAATCATTACTTTTTTTTTTTTGAGACAGAATCTGACTATAGCCCAGGCTGGAGTGCAGTGGCACAATCTCGGCTCACTGCAACCTCTGCCTCCTAGGTTCAAGGGATTCTCCTGCCTCAGCCTCCCGAGTAGCTGGGATTACAAGTGCCTGCCACCACACCCAGCTAATTTTAGTACTTTTAGTAGAAAAGGGCTTTGCCACGTTGGCCAGAGTGGTCTCAAACTCCCGGCTTCAAGTGATATGCCTGACTAGGCCTTCTAAAGTGCTGGCATTACAGGTATGAGCCACCACACTCAGCCGATTATTTAATTTTAATAATTCGGGAATGGATAGTTTACTTCTCTTGCACGCTATTTAGTTTTTGACCACTTTCAATCTTCAGAAAGTGGGAAGAAAATGGGAAAATTCAGTGTACTACCAATCAGAAAACAAACGCACAAGACAAAATGAACTCTGGTGAAAAGGTGGCAGGGTCTAGCAGGAAGTCCTCTTTGGATTTCAGATTATACAGGCTCTCCCTGTATCCCTCATAACCATGGACACCAACAAAACGGACAATGAAGCCCAAATGTAGGTAATAGTTAACAATTTTGTCATGAGAAAGTCAAGTCCTTAATCCTTAATAGCTACAGACACGTAAGCCTTGAAAGGCTCGACACAAAAGATGATTAATGACATCATCCACATACCTTAGCAATTTTTCCACCAGTAAAATTTGCAAAACGTTTCAGAGAAAGTGTAAGAACGTTAGAGGATCTATGGATAGTGAACCTCTTTGAAGCTGGAACCATCTTTTTACACCTTGAAATAAACAGAAACAAAAGTTTAAGGAGACGAATATGTACACACAATTTTTGGTATTTTGGTCTTTGTTATTAGTCTCAAACATTCCACATTAAGGTTCCAAAAAGGACAGTGGATGAGAACCACCAGTCTTCAACCAACAGTGAAAATATTAACATTAAAAATATAGGGGGAACTGCTTACTTAGCGTGAAGGGAAAGGAAGTTAGGACAATTCTGAAAAACCAAGCCATATGTGCTACCAATAATGTTAAAATTAGGTTAACACAACTTTCTCTCAATTCAAAAGAAACTGAAAAATGAACATGTTCAGACTGGTATAATTATGTGAAAATATGTCTTAAATTCATCTAATTTAAAAATAATAATATTCTTATATGAAAAGAAAGCCCTAAACAGAAACAAAAATAATAAAAATAAATATTAGAAAAGTCTGTAGAATTTAAAACAAAGGCAAAATCCCTCTGGTCTCAAAGATTTGATAAAAAAAATTACTCATATTACCTGACCACGAAGTGGAAATCTACTTAAAAACATATGAAAGAGCATTCTTAAAATAGGCACTCCTGACTTCATGGGGAAACATATTAACAAATAATCAAAATTAGAGTTTTCCAGCAAATGCTATCCCAAACCCTGGGAACCCTCCCTAAGAGAGAAGGAGCCTAGCTATCCCAGAAGAAAGTACTCCCCACCCGACAGCAGCCGTCTTATCATAGGAAAGTCAGAGAAAATGCTATTCGGCAGACAGGGGGTGCCCAGCCACACCTGAAGCAGCACTGCCAGGGGAGCAAAGACAGTTTTACCTCTCTCCTCCCACATAATCTGCCCAATGTCATGCCCCAGGTTTTCAGGGGCACAGAGCTGCGCGTCTTGCAGAAATGCACACATCAAGACACTCTGGGTTCTGGCCTTTGGACGACAGGGACCCAGTGTCTTCCAGAGGGTATCAGAAACTCAAGCAACCTAGACACACCAAACTCTCTCCAACCAAGCCTGCCAGCCAACCCCACTGGAGCAGCCAGCAAACCAAGTCATCACCCAGCGTACTTGCTGCACTTGTATGAGTTTTCTCCATCAAGCTGTTCCGGCTTCACAAACTGCTCCAACGCCTTGTTAACACTCTGAGCAGCCTGGGAAGAGAAGAGGCACAAGCACCACATCACCACACACCGCCACTTGTGTCTGGGTCTCGCTCTGCTGCCCAGGCTGGAGTGCAGTGGCACAATTACACCTCACTGCAGCCTCGACCTCCTGGGCTCAAGCAATCCTCTCACCTCAGCTTCCTGAGCAGCTAAGACCACGGGCATGGCCACCATGCCCAGCTAAAATTTTCATTTATTTTGTAGAGACAGGGGCCTCACTACACTACCCAGGCTGGTCTCAAACTCCTGGGCTCAAGTGATCCTCCCACCTCGACCTCCCAAACTGTTAGGATTACAGGTGTGAGCCATCATCCCCAGCCATGCCCCTTATTTTTTAAAAGAAAGAACAGAAGACTCAAAGATATAAAAGTAAATGAGACGTTTTACGTAAAAAGAAAATTTCCAGGCCTGGGATTACTCACACCTGTAATCCCATCACTTTGGGAGGCCGAGGCAGGCAGATCATGAGGTCAGGAGATCGAGACCATCCCGGCTAACATGGTGAAACCCCGTCTCTACTAAAAATACAAAAAATTAGCAGGGCATGGTGGCACGTGCCTGTAGTCCCAGCTAATTGGGAGGCTGAGGCAGGAGAATTGCTTGACCCCAGGAGGTGGAGGCTGCAGTGAGCCGAGATCGAGCCACTGCACTCTAGCCTGGGCAACAGAGCAAGACTCTGTCTCAAAAAAAAAAAAAAAAAAAAGAAGAAGAAGAAAATTTTCCTTTAGTAGTATGATGTTCACTTTTATACATCTAAACACTAAATTATATCCCCTGCCATTAAAAACGAGCAGATTAAAGTGAACAAAAACACAGAGGATGCTCATTGCAGCATTACTTAAAACTGCATAAAACTGGAAGCAAACCAAACATCCACCAGTAAGGAATTTGGCATAGGAATTAGTCTATCCATTCACTGCACCACACACTGCCCAGAGAGCACACTCACACAGAAAGGTCTCCAACAGAATTACATGAAACAGTGAGTAGCCAGACAGACATCAGACACAATCCTGTTTATTTTTTAATTTTTTTTTTTTTGAGACGGAGTCTCGCTGTGTCGCCCAGGCTGGAGTGCAGTGGCCGGATCTCAGCTCACTGCAAGCTCTGCCTCCCGGGTTTTTATGCCATTCTCCTGCCTCAGCCTCCCGAGTAGCCGGGACTACAGGCGCCCGCCACCTCGCCCGGCTAGTTTTTTGTATTTTTTTTTTTTAGTAGAGACAGGGTTTCACCGTGTTAGCCAGGATGGTCTCGAACTCCTGACCTCGTGATCCGCCCGTCTCGGCCTCCCAAAGTGCTGGGATTACAGGCTTGAGCCACCGCGCCCGGCCCACAATCCTGTTTATATAAAAAGTAAACAGTACATTCTGGAGCAGCACATATCAAACTGTTAAAAAGAATGCATTCAGAGGGATAGCATTTTACATATATCTGCAATGTTACTCATTTTTATCATAAGCATGTATTACATCTGTAACCAGAAAAATGCAAGCTCAAGAACAAAAAAAAAATAGGAATTCAGAAAATGCAAGAGGCAGGCTGGGCACAGTGGCTGTAGTCCCAGCTACTCGGGAGGCTGAGACAGGGGAAATGCTTGAACCCCGGAGGCGGAGGTTGCAGTGAGCTGATACTGCGCCACTGCACTCCAGCCTGGGTGCTGGAGCAAGACTCCGTCTCAAAAAAAAAAGGAAAAATAACCATCTGTATTTGGCTAATACAGAAAATCTAGTTTTATTAAGATATTAAATGAAAATTCAGGCCGGGCACAGTGGCTCATAACTATAATCCCAGCACTTTGGGAGGTGGGCAGATCACGAGGTCAAGAGTTCGAGACCATCCTGGCCAATAGGTAAAACTCCATCTCTACTAAAAATACAAAAATTAGCTGGGCACGGTGGCGTGTGCCTATAGTCCCAGCTACTCGGGAGGGTGAGGCAAAAGAATCACTTGAACCCTGGAGGCAGAGGTTGCAGTGAGCCGAAATCACACCACTGTATTCCAGCCTGGGCGACACAGTGCAATTCCGTCTCAAAAAAAAAAAAGAAAGAAAAAGACAAAAAGAAAAAGAAAATTCAAAGAGTAATAAAAACAACTTTTAAAAGCTTTTTCATGATGCTTACTACAAAGCTTGAATAATCCCTCCAAATGAAATCTTAGCATATTGAATTTTTCAATTTATATTCTCTAACAAGTAGTCTAAATTACAAATGAACTATAGTTATATGACTTATTTTAAAAATGTAATTACTCGCATAATTATGAAATTTACCTTTATCTCCAATGTTATATCAAGATATGGATCAAAAGTATCTGAAACGCCCTTGCAATTTAAACATTTGACTGAAATAAAAATAAAATGCAAAAGATGAGCAAAGTATAATCATTACAGCAACATCAACTATTGAAATGACAAAATACAATTTTGAAATTTAAAATTTTTTACCTGTAATTTTTCTATCAGTTGAACAAAAAAAAGTTTTAAATTAATACTACTCATAATATGGGTGAAAAGTGTAATGAATTTGACCCTCATATACTATTGGTTAGAATCAAAACTGGGATAACCTTTTAGAAGGACAAGGTGACAGAATTAAAATTTATAATACACACTCCCTGTGATCCAGAAATTCTAATACTAAGAATTCATCATACATATATACTTTTACCCAGACAGAAAGCATATGTGTACGGATGCTCCATGAACAACAAAACACAAATAACCTAAATCCCCATCGACAGGGGACTAAAATCAAAGGAACACTACTGCAACTGTCGAAGGCTGTTAGGCCTGTGTGCTGAAATGTAAAAGACTCCTAATACGAAGAGACAAATGGAAGCAGTGCACACAGTATGCTCCCAGTTTGTTCATGCACAGGAAACTACAAGAAGGATTTACTACAACCTGGCACCAGGGTTGCCTTTGGGTAAAAGGAATGAGAATCTGGGCTGGAGAGAAGTACTTTTCCTTCCTTCCTAGCAGGACTAACACTGTCCAACTTTTACTATTTTTTAACCACATGCGTGTATCATTTTATCAACTTATAAGCAAAAGCTTACCTCTAGATCTTAGGTATCCTCCAAATATCTGACAAACGAGAGTGGTGGCCTGGGTGTGTCTGTCCAATCTGAAAAACATCGAACAGTGACATGAGAGAGGAGCTTTGCAAAAACTCCAGATGCTGTGACCAGATTTCAAACACATGTGAGCTTACAAAGATCAAGAATTCTAACAGGATAGCCATGGAAAATAAAAGGATGGCACATGTGGCAGCCCAAGAGCATCCCTGCCTGGCCAGAACACAGGGAGGTCTGGGAGTGGTGGGAGGAGAGGCAGAGCTGTGGGAGCTGTGTCTGTCAAGAAGGGACTTGGGAAGCAAGGCAGGAGTCTGGTCCTGAAGCAGGAAGACAGCAGCCTCCAGGGGCTGCGGCCTGTGCGGGAGGAAAGGGAGCAGAGGCGGAAAAGGCAAAGAGTCTTCCTCCGACCCAAGTCTGTCACCACCCGGATGATGAGGGCCTAGACAGAGCGGTGCTGGGGCAGGGAGAATACAGAGGGAGATCTACCAGGTGTGTTCAGACAGCACCAAGCGGCTTAGGATGCATTATCGAACCATCTCCTCGTTCTTCCTCGTGAGTTTAGATTTTAAGGAATAAAGTACAGGAATCAGTAACTGATTGGGGTGGGGGTTCAGGAAATAAATACAGGTTGGAGGGCAGCAGAGAAAAGAATACGTCAGGCACAACTAAAAAGGAGAAGCAGCTAGTTTGAGATTTGCAGACGTCTGCTGATAATCAGAAATTAAACAGCTGCAAGACCAATGTTTATTTCCTGACATCTATGACTGAGCAAACTCAAACTGTTACAGTAAGATACATCTGTAAATTTCAACCATTTAAAACTAATGCACATCACCTAAGGAAGAGGCAGAGCAAAGCCAAAAGGTAAAGTGAACATAGTTCTGTGTGCTTCCAACAAAAAAGGTGAAAATGAATTCTGGTAAGAATAAATTACAACTGGAGATCCCAAATGAAGAAATGGCTGGCGCTTTGTTGTACTTACTTATTGCTGCCATTCAAGCATGCTTTTTGCATAGCATCAACAGTGTATTGAAGGAATTCATGGGCATCTTCCTGGTTTCCAAAACGGAAGTGCCTAGCTATACCTGTAAAATTTCAGTAAAGACAAGGTTTTATCATTACACATAATAAGCCTAAGTTGTACCCCCCAAAATATATCTTACAATAATATGTTGATTGGAAAACTCCCAAATACTTATTTTATGAGGAAATAGCACTAACATAAGCCACTAACATAAGCTATAAGCAGGATCAGGCCCTTTAGACCAGAATCCCCAACCGTTTCGGCACCAGGGACTGGTTTCATGGAAGACAATTTTTCCACAGACCAAAAGAGGGGGTTGGGATGAAACTGTTCCAGCTCAGATCATCAGGCACGAGATTCTCCTAAGGAGCGTGCAACCTGGATCCCATGCATGCACAGTTCACAACAGGGTTTGCGCTGCTATGAGAATCTAACGCGGTCACTGATCTGACAGGAGGCAGAGCTCAGGTGGGAATGCTCACCTGCTGCTCACGTCCTGCTGTGTGGCCCAGTTCCCAACAGGCCACATCAGGTACCAGTCCACAGCCCAGCGGTTAGGGACTCCTGCTTTACACCATTAAAAGTCCACAGCAGCTAGAGTTTCTGAGAGTCTAGAGAGTAGCTACAGAGTGACTCATGTTTTTAGCAAGTTAATAAAGTTACACTTGAATAAACTGGCTGTTTTGTCTCAAGTTTGTCCAAAATGTTATGTTGGTGATTTTAAATTGGTGCTACATCTCTATAATAGAGAATCCATTCAAAACATAAATATCCCAACCTATCTAATTCTATCCCAATGACCCACAGAAGAACTTATATTTGCAGGTGCAGAGAAACATTTCAGTCCTGTTTCTAATTGATTACACAGCTACAAGACCAAATTATTTTTAAAATTATAATAAAAAATTAACACAAAAGTATAAGCAATATCACACTAAAACATATACACTGAATTTTACATGTGTATGAAGGTATAAAATGTTCCAGCTTAAATCATATGAAACTGCCAACACTCCACCAGTTTAGACCTACAAACCTGACAATTTCATGATTTAACCATGTGTGTATCAGTGGATACACACATACACATACATACACACACACACACACACAGCAATGACATTTTCTTAAAAGACTAGGTTTAAAAATGTTAGTCATGCCTGCTATATAAGTATGCATAAAAATAAATATACGTGGTCAGGAGTGGTGGCTCACGCCTGTAATCTCAGCACTTTGGGAGGCAGAGGCGGGTGAATCATGAGGTCAGGATATCGAGGCCATCCTGGCTAACATGGTGGAACTCCGTCTCTACTAAAAATACACAAAATTAGCCGGGCGCAATGGCACACACCTGTAGTCCCAGCTACTCAGGAGGCTGACGCTGGAGAATCGCTGGAACCCGGGAGGCGGAGGTTGCAGTGAGCCAAGATCGCACCACTGTACTCCAGCCTGGGCGACAGAGCGAGACTCCATCTCAAAAATAAATAAATAAAAACAAATAAATAAATATATGATAAATAGCCAGGCACGGTGGCTCATGTCTGTAATCCCTGTACTTTGGGAAGCCAAGGTGGGTGGATCACCTGAGGTCAGGAGTTCAAGACCAGCCTGGCCAACAAGGTGAAACCTTGTCTCCACTAAAACTACAAAATTAGCCAGGTGTGGTGGTGCACACCTGTAATCCCAGCTACCTGGGAGGCTGAGGCAGGAGAATCACTTGAACCCGAGGGGCAGAGGTTGTAGTGAGCCTCGTGCCACTGCACTCCAGGCAGGGCGACAGAGCAAGACTCTGTCTCAAATGAATGAATAAATGAATGAATGAATGCATACATGTATAAACAATCCAAACCTCCCTGGCTAAATTTTGCCAGGCTTCAACAACATTTCAAAGGTTTTTGACTTGTCTGTTGTGGTCTATCAATAATGCCAAGGACCAATATAAGACCTCTTTAATCTTCAGTGGCTTCTTAGGCAAAAAGATTACAGTTTGTTACTGTATAATTTCACATCCCTATAATTACCCAGTTAGATGCCAGATTAAGAGTTATAGTTTTGTTTGTATGCATTTTTTATTCCAACTCACTTAATTAACATGATGTAAAAGTGTACTGCAAAAATACACAGAAAGTATGTAAGAAAATTTCATGCACCTGTCCATTTAAAATTTAAAAATTAAATAGAAAAAAGTAAAATTTATCCACAAATTTGCTAAGCTCTGAGTATATATTCTTTTAAGACTGTAATTAAGTTGGGCACCGTGGTGCACATCTGTAATCCCAGCTATTCAACTGGGGCAGGAGGATCACTTGAGCTAGTTCAAGAGTCACCTGGGCAAAATAGTGAGACACAGTCTCACCTAAAGAAACAAAACAGGCCGGGCGCGGTGGCTCAAGCCTGTAATCCCAGCACTTTGGGAGGCCGAGACGGGCGGATCACGAGGTCAGGAGATCGAGACCATCCTGGCTAACACGGTGAAACCCCGTCTCTACTAAAAAATACAAAAAACTAGCCGGGCGCTGTGGCGGGTGCCTGTAGTCCCAGCTACTCGGGAGGCTGAGGCAGGAGAATGGCGTGAACCCGGGAGGCGGAGCTTGCAGTGAGCTGAGATCCGGCCACTGCACTCCAGCCTGGGCGGCAGAGCGAGACTCCGTCTCAAAAAACAAAACAAAACAAAACAAAAGAAAAAACAGAATTAACCTTATTTATTTATTTATTTTTACTGCTGCTTGCAGAGCAGGGCTAATCCACAGGCAGTGTGTCCAGAGTAGCCTAATTAACTTTATTTTGACAATTTCTGTCACTGTATAGTATAATATTCATTCACCAAACTGAAACTAAAAACTGTTTACAAAAACCTGTGAGACAATATCAGAATTAGTATTACTCAGTATAGAAATCCAAGTGTCACAGCAAAAAACACTATAAAACTTACCAATTATTTTAACATATTGATTTTTAATAGTTTAAAATTTGTTAAATTGAATAGTCTTTAATATATTGTCATCTTTTGCTTTAAAGTTTCAAAATGTGTTTATATAGCAAATGCTTTACTAAAAATTTGTTATTGAAGACACAGTCACGCATGACAAAATATAATTGTTTTCTAATACATGAGGGGTTCAGTTTTTCACCAGTTGGACATTAAGAATAACTAGGTAATAGGCCGGGTGTGATGGCTCACACCTGTAATCCCAGCACTTTGGGAGGCGGAGGCAGGTGGGTCACCTGAGGTCAGGAGTTCGAGACCAGCCTGACCAACATGGAGAAACCCCATCCGTACTAAAAATACAAAATTAGCCTGGCATAGTGGTGCACGCCTGTGATCCCAGCTACTTGAGAGGCTGAGACAGGAGAATCGTTTGAACCTGGGAGGTGGAGGCTGCAGTGAGCCGAGATAGCGCCACTATGCTCCAGCCTAGGCGACAGAGCAAGACTCTGTCTCAAAAAAAAAAAAAAAAAAAAAGAATAGGTAATAAATACAAATATAAAACTACAATAGTTAATACTTACGCCGCATCTCATTGATGACAAACATTGGTTTAATAACGTCCCCAGGATTACTGAGTGCCTGGGTAATATGTGCTTGCATTGTACACATCATACAAAAGCCTTCTGCATGACCTGAAAGATAGATGATAATCCTCCAAATTAGCAAAATACAACTATATACACACATCAAGGCTAATGACAAATCAGGGGCACACTACCTGAAATGAAATAATAGCTGCTATATGCATGCCTTGAGCTATCTACTTTTATGCATTTTCATTTACTTTTCTTTGTTCTTTTTTTTTTTTTTTTTTTTGAGACGGAGTCTCGCTCTGTCACCCAGGCTGGAGTGCAGTGGCCGGATCTCAGCTCACTGCAAGCTCCGCCTCCCAGGTTTACACCATTCTCCTGCCTCAGCCTCCCGAGTAGCTGGGACTGCAGGCGCCCGCCACCTCGCCCCGCTAGTTTTTTGTATTTTTTAGTAGAGACGGGGTTTCACGGGGTTAGCCAGGATAGTCTCGATCTCCTGACCTCGTGATCCGCCCATCTCGGCCTCCCAAAGTGCTGGGATTACAGGCTTGAGCCACCGCGCCCGGCCTTTTTTTTTTTTTTTTTGAGATGGAGTTTCACTCTGTTGCCCAGGCTGGAGTGCAGTGGCGCGACCTTGGCTCACAGCAACCTCTGCCTCCTGGGTCCAAGCGATTTGCCTGCCTCAGTCTCCCAAGTAGCTGGGACTACAGGTATGGGCCACCACGCCCGGTTAATTTTTTTTTTTGTATTTTTAGTAGAGATGGGGTTTCATCATGTTAGCCAGGCTGGCCTCGAACTCCTGACCTCACGCAATCCACCCACCTCGGCCTCCCAAAGTACTGGGATTACAGGTGTGAGCCACCGCCCTGGCCTCATTTACTTTTCTAACAAACCTAAGTGATAAGTACACATTAGCTTTCTTTCACAAGAAAGGAAAAAGGCTATGAGAGTTTAAAAATTTGCACAATGTCAAAGAGTTATTATGTGACAGACACATAATTGGATTCAAATCATACTCTTTCAAATTTGAAAGCCAGTGATCCTAGCTACTCTCTATACTGGAAAAGCAAGGTTTTTCCCCTCATACCACCATTTATCTCAAATGCTAAAAGAATGTCTCCTACAGCAGGGATTAGACATCACTGTGCAGGCCATACACCATGGCTCATGCCTATCATCTCAGCACTCTGGGAGGCCGAGGTGGGTGCATCTCTTGGGGCCAAGAGTTTGAGACTAGCCTGGGCAAGATGGTCAAACCCTGTCTCTACAAAAAATAAAAAGAAAATTAGCCCAGTGTGGTGGCATAAGCCTGTAATCCCCGCTATCCAGGAGGCTGAGGTAGGAGGATCACCTGACCCCAGGGAGGTTGAGGCTGCAATAAGCTGTGATCACACCACTGCACTACAGCCTGGGCAACAGAGCGAGACCCTGGCTCAAAAAACAGAGAAAGAAAAGAAAAAAGAAAATAATCTCTGTGTAAATACTCTGGCGTTGCTGGCCACAGATGGTGGTCTCTATGGCATATCTTTTTTTACAACTTTCTAAAAACGTAAAACTCATTCTTAGCACATGTTAAGTGGTGCTACGGCATCTAGTGGGCAGATGCCAGGGATGCTGCTAAACAGCCTCAAATGCACAGGACAGCCCCTCACAACAAAGAATTACCCGAAGTGTCGACAGCACCGAGCCTGAGGAACTACCTGACTAAAGGCTGCCCAGATGTACCTAATAATGCTTAAAACACCACAAAAGGATCAAACTATTTCCAACTAACTTTGTCCTGCAATAAAGCTCAAAAATACTTTTTAAGAGATACAAAAATCTCAGCACCCAACAACATAAAATTCATTCTGTCTGGCATCCAATCAAACAGTACAAGGCACGCAAAGATGCAGGAATGACCAGTAACAAGGAGAAAATAAATAGAAAAAAACCCAGAAATAACACAGAAAATATAATCGGAAGACAATAACTTTAAAAAAGATATTACAAATATATTCCTATGTTCAAGGAAATGAAAAATGGAAGAACACATTAAGAAGAAACATGGAAATAGATGCAAATCTACTTATACACATGAACAGTAGAATCTGTGGGATGAAAAATACATCAGATGCACCAGGTGCGGTGGCTCATGCCAGTCATCCCAGCACTTCGGGAGGCTGACGCAGGCGGACCGCTTGAGCCCAGGAGTTTGAGACCAGCCTGGGCAACACAGCAAAACCCCATCTCTACTAAAAATACAAAAATTAGCCAGGTGTGGTGGCACGTGCTTGCAGTCTCAGCTACTCCAGAGGCTGATGTGGGATGGGAGGACCACCTGAGCCCAGCAGTTGGCGGCTGCAGTAAGCTGTGATAGCGCCACTGCACTCCAGCCTGGGCGACAGAGTAAGACCCTGTCTCAAAAAAACAAAAACAAACAACAATAACAAAAACACCAGATGTGATTAATAACAGATTAGACACCATATAAGAAAAGATTAGTGAACCTGAAGATACTCATTATGGGTAGAAAATATCCATAATAAAACATAAAAAGAACAAATCTCAAAACAACAACACAGAGTACCAGTAAGCTAAGGGACAATTTTACGTTGCCCCGATATACGTCATTAGAGCCTGAAGGTAAAAGGACAGCATAAATATTTCAAGAACTAACAATTATCTACAAAGGAAAAGCACAAGGGAGGTTTTTGGGAAGAGGCACAGTTTCGTATCCTGACTGAGCTGTCAGTTCACTTGAGTCTATATTAATATTCAAGGGAAACTTACACCAAAAAAGTTAAGTTTTCAAAAGTCACTGAAAGTTGTCAAAATTTGACAGAAATAATACATGTACAGATCTAAGAACCTCAACAAATTCCAGTAGTAGAAACATGAAGAAAACTACACAAAGCCCCACTGCTTACAACCAGTGATAAAAATCTTAAAAGCACTGGAGATAAAAACATTACGTAGGCTGGGCTGGGTGCGGTGGCTCACGCCTGTAACCCCAGCACTTTGGGAGGCCGAGGCAGGCAGATCACAAGGTCAGGAGATCTATCTTGGCTAACACGGTGAAACCCCGTCTCTACTAAAAATACAAAAAAAAAAATTAGCCGGGCGTGGTGGCGGCCGCCTATGGTCCCAGCTACTCAGGAGGCTGAGGCAGGAGAATGGCGTGAACCAGGGAGGCAGAGGTTGCAGTGAGCCAAGATTGCGCCACTGCACTCCGGCCCAGGCAACAGAGCGAAACTCCATCTCAAAAAACAAACAAACAAAGAAAACATTACATAGGCTGGTGCAGTGGCTCATGCCTGTAATCCCAGCACTCTGGGAGGCTGAGGCGGGTGGATCATTAGAGGTCAGGAGTTCCAGACCAGCCTGGCTAACATGGTGAAACCCTGTCTCTACTAAAAATACAAAAAATTACCTGGGCATGGTGGTGCATGCCTGTGATCCCAGCTACTCGGGAGGCTGAGACAGGAGAATCACTTGAATCCGGAGGCCGGGGTTGCAGTGAGCTGAGATTGTACCACTGCACTCCGGCCTGCGCCACCGAGTGAAACTCGGTCTCAAAAAAACACAGGAAACAAAGACAAAAACAAAAAACCATTATGTATATAGGAACAAAGGTAAAACCAACAACAGACTTCAGGCACAGCACAGGCCAGAAGACAGCGGAATAATATCTTCCAAGTATTAAAAGAAAAAGAACACGCCAGGTGTAGTGGCTGCCCTGTAATCTCAGCACTTTGGGAAGCCGAGGCCAAGTAGATCGCCTGAGCCTAGGAGTTCGAGACCAGCCTGGGCAACATGGCCAAAATCCTGTCTCTACAAAAAATTAGCCAGGCAGGGTGGTCAATGCCTGTAGTCCCAGCTACTCGGGAAGTTGAGGTGGGAGGATTACTTGAGCCCAAGAGGTTGAGGCTATATAGTATCACACCACTGCACTCTAGCCTGGGTGAGAGTGACAGCCTGTCTCAAAAAAGACAAATAATGTTAACATAGAATTCTACACCCCATGAAAACATCGTTCAAAAACAAGCATGAGACTAGCACTTCTGGGAGACAGAGTAGAGGTAGTTTTCTATTCATCCTGCCAAGTACAACAACAAATCCTGACCATTGTATATAAAACGAACCTTAAAAGGCTGTGAAAGGTAGAGAAAGAGACATGCTAGGGACCTCAGAAGACACGGTGGTGAGTTCCCTGGGGTTTCTTTGTGCTTCTTCTAGTCCATCTTTGTGCTGCTTCTAGTCAGACTTGGACCTAAGAAGTCAGCAACCTGGAAACCCCAACAACTGCAGACAACCAAGCCCAGCAAAATCCTTCCCACTCTCTCCAGCCAAAGGAGGAGGAAGGGGCAGCCTCGTGTGACAGAAACCTTTGGAAATCATCGCTCTACTTCGGCTTCTGTGTGTATTTTTTTCTGTATGTTATGATGCTTGGTTTGTTTTTTTTTGTTGTTGTTGTTTTTTTTTGAGACAGGATCTCACTCTGTCACCCAGGCTGGACTGCAGTGGCGGGATCACAGCTCACTGCAGCCTCTACCTCCCAAAGCTCAGGAGATCCCCCAATCCGTCTCTCAAGTAGCAGGGATTACAGGCGCCCACCACCATACCTGGCTAATTTTTGTATTTCAGTAGAGACAGGGTTTCACCATGTTGGCCAGGCTGGTCTCGGACTCCTGGGCTCAAGTGATCTGCCCTCCTCTGCCTCCCAAACTGCTGGAAGTGTAAGAATTATGATCATGTTTTGACATTCTAAAGATCTTTCTGGCTGGGAAGAGGCTGCCCCTCAGGCTAGCCAATTCTTAAAGGTAGCAAAGGGCTCAGCGTTCGTGCAAGCCTTTGCTATACAGACTAACCAATCCAGAGCCCTTCCTTCTCCATTCACCTGCCTGTGCACCCCAGGAGGCAACACTCCTCTGCCCTAACCATCTCAGGGCCAGGTGCCAGGCAACTCTGGGCCACGCCTGTGGCTCAGAGCCCACTGAAATTATTCAAACCAGCCAATCCCAAATTCTTCCCCATGCCCTACCCTGCTTTTCCCACGGAAACCTCAACGAAGGCTCTGGCCAATAATGCCTTCCCCTTGCTCCTGTCTTCTGCTTCCTGAC